ATTTACCTTGCGTGTAGTGAGATGCCGTGACTGTGCTGGGGCGCATTAATCATCGTTCCAGACGTCAATCACAAACCTGACTGTCAAGCTCCAGCCTACGATGCGCTCTGTTCACTGTCGCAGAGCCCTGGTTCTTACGGCAGATGCGCTGTCACTGGTGTGAGGTTATCTCGGCCATACAGTGCGATGGTATTATATACAGTATATGCACGGTGCTTCGGTCTCTCACTGAGTCTGTTCCTTGCTCACCCGTCATCTCACCTCACCCATCGCCATAACCATGACGAACTCTCAAAGGTGATACAGTTTTCAACTGCTTTTCGATCTCCTAAGCTATCTCTGCTCAGTTTTTCTGCATGCACCGTCTCTCATGTATGACCAAAACGGACAAGTCTTCAAAGAAGTCGTCGCACAGCGGCCCCCCGACGCGTACCAAAATGGCCGGGACTGGTCACGGCGGACCGGCCGGCAACCACGAAGAGGTCGCGGCGGCCAAGGCATGAAGGGCGCGAGGTCGCTCGCCGACATGGCGGTGCACACGATAGCGGAGAACATCGGCGACGTGGAAGAACACCATCTCGCCCGTGAAGACCTGCCGCGGCGGTACTTGTGGAGGATATGGCGGCTCTTGGAGAATAGGTTGGTCAACCTCTTAATTACTCCAAAAATGGCACATTGTGATATTCATTGTTTTGTTTTTTTGATGTATAGAGGTGTATGCTTCCAAGCCTGGAAGGTCTTTTCCAAATTCCTCCTCGTCGAGGACGACGAAAAAACGCTGGGCCTATATCGCTATCGCCAACACATATGCCAGCCCAGCGGCGCGAGTCTCCGCCACTACCTCAAACCCCTCGAGTCGCCCAACGTGGACTTTGTGACGCACCTGACCATCACGGGGTCCTGCTCCTTTGGCGAGAACGAGCTGCTGGCGCTGCCCAAGCTCCGAAACCTCGCCATCCTCGAAATCATCGAGCCGGCGTCGTCGGCGTCGGTCATGGACGAGCAACACGCCCCCAGCTTCCCCAAAGTCGACGACCGCCTCGTCAGGAGCTGGTCCGAGATGGACGACCCCTTCCCGCTCCTCCGCGTCCTCCGTCTCTGGGGCGACGAGTCCGTCACGACGCACTCGCTCCTGTATGTCTCCAAGTTCCCTGCGCTGGCGCTGTACGACGTCAACGCGTCGAGGAGCGACTGGCGAGACGCCTGGGGCGCCGCGGAGGAGAATGGCTGGGAGGTTGACGAGCCGCTGCACGGCCCGCACGATTCTCTTCTGTGGTATTTCTTCCTCTTCGACGGCGCCGTTGATACGGCGGAGGGTAAGGACAGCAAGCCGAGACAGCTCCAGGGCATGGCGCGCAACATTGACGACGGATTGATGAATTTCTGTCAGAGCAGCAACCAGCCCATCACCATCAAACCATCTTCTTCAGACGGCCAGGACGCCCCTCCGTTTCTCGACCATCTCAGCGACGCGGCCAAGAGGAATCTATCCATGTACGTCGACGTGCCGGGCTACGAGGCGCAAACCTGCAAGGGTTTCCCCTTCGAGACGTGGGGCTTCTGGCTGTACTCCTTCCTCGGCCAGCTCACGGGGGACGCAGACCTCAAGAGAGCGGGTCAGACGACGGGTACGTTACTCAAGGTGGTGTCGGAACAGCTGGTGCTGCCCGCGAAGCCACTCGCATGCCTCCAGCTCGGCCATTGCGGGTCCGGCAGGCCGGGCATCACGCCAGCCGTTTCGTATGTGCGCCGGGGACTCTTCGCCACGTGCAGGTACACGTTCTTCAGGAGGTCGTCGGGGTTGGCCAAGCAGGAGCCAGCGCGGAAGCCGACGGAGTCGTTGAGGCCAAAGGTAGAGCTGGGCAAGGTCGAGACGGGATTGAACCCCAACAGAAAGAAGAGGCGGAGGCTTGATGACATTCTGCAGTCTTTCATGGGTTCTTGAAGTCTGTTCTGAGATGAGAGACGGGTAAGTCCTCGGAGACCGAGGCTAATGTTGGTCACAGTCTCGATGAACTGAGTGTAAAACACTCTTCACTCAAGCCATACTCGATATTGGGAGAGTAGTACCAACAGCTTTGCACCATTAGATGGCGTGATTATTACCTACCCGTTTTTCATGAGCTGGCGTTTAGGTGCATCGCGTTTGGCAGCATCGAGGGCAGTTTGGACATCTGTAGTACCAATAGGTTGGAAAAGCAAAAATCATGGCTATCATTTTGATCCCTAAGCTTTGACGCCGTACTCTAGATGATGACAATGGCGTACCCATCGTGACGGGTATATACCTCCTCCACAGATTCATTCATTCTCCAAGAAGTCTCCCTCATACAATATGCTCCTTTTACAACATGGGCTTCAGGTCGTCGGCGACGGTGAAGGGCGCCTCAGTCTTGCTCTTGATCTCATCCACCGTAACTCCGTCCGCAATCTCGATGAGGGTCAGTCCGTTGGCGAAGTCGACGTCAAAGACACCCTGCATGGCACGTTAGTATCATGTCATCATCCCATAGGAGCTAGGGTAGAAAGGAGGTGGAAAGAGACTTACCAATTCCGTAATGATTCTTGACACGCAGGCTCTGCCAGTCAAGGGGAAAGCGCACTGCTTGACAATCTTGGCGTTGCCCTTCTTGTCGGTGTGCTCCATGGTCACAACGACCTTGGTCGCGCTGGGGTTGCTGACGAGATCCATGGCACCACCGAAGCCCTTGACCTTGCCGGGCAACATCCAGTTGGCGAGGTCACCGTTGGCGCTGACCTGCATGGCACCGAGGATGGTGAGGTTGATGCGGCCGCTGCGGATCATGCCGAAGCTCTCCTCGCTGCCGAAGACGGCGGCACCGGGCTTGAGGGTGACGGTCTCCTTGCCGGCGTTGATCAGGTCGGCGTCCTCGTTGCCCTTGGTGGGGTAGGGGCCGAGACCAAGAATACCGTTCTCGGACTGGAGCTGAACCTCAACCTCCGGGCCAACGAAGCCGGGTGCGAGCATGGGCATGCCGATACCCAGGTTGGCGTACATGCCGTTCTTGAACTCCTTGGCGGCACGGCGAACGATGAGCTCGCGCTTGGCGGCGGTGTCACCGGTGCCGAGGGCCTTCTTGGCATCGGCGTCGTTGGGGTCCTTGGCGAAGGTGTACTTCTCAATGTTCTTCGGGGTGGTGCTCTGAATGACGCGCTTGACGTAGATGCCAGGCAGGTGGACAGCCTCGGGGGAGATTTCACCAGGCTCGACAATGTGCTCAGCCTCGACAATAGTCATCTTGGCGTTGCGGCCCATGGCACCGTTAAAGTTGTTGGCGGCCAGGCGGAACTGGCAGTTTCCGAGCTTGTCGGCCTTGTAGGCCTTGACGAAGGCGTAGTCACCGGCGATACTCTCCTCTAGGAGGTATGACTTGCCGTTGAAGACCTTGACGTCCTTGGGGTAGGAGAACTGGTCGGGAGAGCCGTCGGCCTTGTTGCGGAGGGGCAGCTCGCCAGTCTGCACCACGGTGCCAAAGGCGGCCGGGGTGTAGAAGGCCGGAATACCCTTACCGCCGGCGGCGCAGCGCTCAGCGAGTGTGCCCTGGGGGGTAAGCTCAAGCTCAACCTCACCGGTGAGGTACATCTTCTCGAAGGTCTTGTTCTCGCCAATGTAGCTGGCAATCATCTTGCTGATCTGCTTCGTCTTCAGAAGCTTGCCGAGGCCGGAAGCATCGGTGCCGGCGTTGTTAGAGACGGCGGTGATGCCAGTGATCTCAGGCTTGTTCAGGACCTCGTCAATCAGGGTATCGGGAACACCGCAGAGACCGAAGCCACCGCAGAGAAGTGTGGAGTTGGGCTTCATGTCCTTGAGAGCCTCAGTAGCTGAAGGGTAGACCTTGTTGATCTCTGGCCTCCGCGCAGATGCTGAGAAGGCGCGGGCAAGAATGGCAGTGTGCTGATTGTCACCAAAGGGTTAGTTTGGGCTACGCGGGCTGAGATTTGACACTGCCGGATCAATTGGACATACGTTGGAGCCATGGCGAGCGTAAGCTCGCAATGAGCGAGCACACAGAGCTGCTGAAGGCATCGTGGTGTGTGAGGGTGTGTGGATGGTAGTACGTGACTACAGCGGAGGGTTACAAGGGCCGGAGAGTACGGTTGAGCAACGGACTGAAGCAGGTCACCGTACGCAAGAGTGACAACGACAAAGAAGCTATTGACAGGAGTTGGGAATGAAGCTGGAGAGAGGAATTGGGGAGGGAGAAGGAGAGAAGAAACGCCTTTCGTCACGAGGGATTCCGAAGGGGCCCCGGCCAATTTATTGCATCTACGTTTATCCCCCAGGACCTAGCTCCAAGACCGTGAATTGCCGCAGAGCACAGTATGTGGGATGGATTGGGAGAGCGTGTCTGGGGGGGGTACCTGATTCCGCCCCATCCCTTCGGGATTGAGCTCGGCAAGAGGAAAGACGAGGGTTCAAGCTTGGGCCTGCTGGCGAGTCTGAGAACCTCCAGCAGACAAAGAAGCTCCAACTCTGGGGTCGACAGGCACCTTTTGGCAGCGTTAGCTAAGCACTCCCCCCTCTCATGTTCCGCGACTCGGAAAGTGGCGGGGCTAAATGTTCTTGCGGCTTGGGCTCTGGGGTGACGCCAAACTGGGAAAAGTCCACCTCCAGCTTTCCCCTTGACCCCGTCTGAACCCCGCAAAGACAATTCTGAGCCTCTGATGGAGGAAGTGCATACCCAGTTGCATCTATGCTTTGTTTTGTCTACACCTTCTTTATCCTGCGTAGAGTGAATAGTGACAGCGTCTCCAGAGGGTAAGCTCAACATCAGAACATCAATCATACAGCTACGGGCTATTATGGGTGAACTCGGGGATCGGTTCGGGAAGCGGCGCCGTTTGCCGAGGACTCTGCCGAAGCGGAACAAAAGTCAGGAATTTCCAACCTCAGTTCCGAACAGGCGCTCTCTGCAACCACTCAGTCCCCTCGACAATGGATCAACGCATGGTAAAACCCCCAGCCTACCAGCAAATTGTCACTGCGATACCGGCGGCATGCACAACCCCTCGAGGCGCGCGCCGGCTTGGCTGGGTCGCTGGCGAGGTTCAGAGCTCTGCGGTCCCCTGCGTCTGTCATCATTAGCCCCGAACCTTCGGTACGCAGTCCGGCACTCGAGCGGCTCGTTGCCATCCGATGTTGTGGAGAAACCCCCGGTGTGTTCCGCTAGCCTCTCTTCTGTATCCTCGGCCATTGCTGCGATGCAAATGCTCCAAAAGAAAACACGTTGAGCCCCAAGAAGCAGGTCACCATTGGATATCCAAGCTGCACAGGTCGCATACTGACATGGTGACCTCAAATGATGAGACTGTTCTACGTCTTTTAATATTTATCCAACCCCATGGCTGCATGGTCGGGGTGCAGTATCCGCTGGATAACTTAGGTAACCAGGAGCGCGCCAGGTAAGGTAGCTTATGGACTGGACGATTTGAGGCGGGGTGTATCCGTACGCCTGAAGATGCCTAGCCGCTGATTGGCGACCGCAAAGTTAAGGTGGAGCCGTCGCAAAGTCCAATGTCTTATCGGACAATCGGCCAGGGATAAGTTTTCTCCCAGCTCTTATCGGCTGCCCCACGCTCAAAAAATTTCCCAGCATCGCTGCGCCTTTGGTGCAGCAGTAGAATGGATCTGAGGTTGCGACCCGTATTGCTGTGATTTTGTATCATTGCGCTTGTCGGTCACGAATTGGACAGCCCACCCGTACATCATATACACCGGGCTGAACCGTTCAAGTCGCTAAAATGGAACAGAGCGCCAAGCGACGTAAGGTCTCCCACAAGGGCGACTCCAAGATCTCTGCCAACATCGCGACGGCGAGTCCATTCGTCCTCCAGACGGACGAACTGTTGAAGGAGGTCAAGGTCGACTACGCCGAGGCTCTCGATGGCGCTGACGCCCTGTTGCATAAGATCAGAAACCTGATCCAAGGAATTGAGCCTCATGGTCCTATTCCTGTTCGTAATCCCCGATGATGCTGCTCCCCCCACTAGACACAGGCTGTGTTAACCTCGTTGTAGATCGCCGAAGCCACGCGCAAGTTCCAGAAGACGAACAAGATCAAGATTCCCTATCCGGACCCGAAACCCGCCGACGATGCGCCGTACAAGCTGTCATACGAAAAGCCCGCCGCTTACAATGTCGTGGGCAGCTACGTCTCGAAGACGATGATCCAGGCCCAGGCCAACAAGGGTGTGGACATGATTGTGCAGATGCCGGCTTCGCAATTCCAAGAAAAGGATCACCAGAACATGCGCTACTTCTACCGCAGAGCCTACTATATTGCGAATATTGCAGCCGCCTTGCGCAAGGAGTTGGCAGGATCGGCCGACCTGGAGTTCGAGAATCTCAATGGCAACGCCCTTCTGCCCGTCCTCTCCATCAGGCCCTCTTCAACATCCGAATCGTCAGAAAGCGACGAGAGCGACGAGAAGGCCGAATCGGGGTCTTCAAAGGCGGATTTCGTCATTCGGATCATTCCTTGCGCGCCGGAAGGTGTCTTCCCCAAGAAGAAGTTGCACCCCGCGTACAACAGCAACCGAAATGGGCAGCCGGAGAACGCCAAGGAGTCGACTGTGTCTACGCCCTTCTACAACTCGACCATTAAGGCTGAAGACACATTTGTCACGTATCTGCGGGTCCTCACTAGAGCCAAGGCGGATTGCGCAGCCTTCGCAGACGCTTGCATACTCGGAAGAATCTGGCTCCAACAACGAGGTTTGGGCAGTTCGCTGGCCAAGGGTGGATTCGGTCACTTTGAATGGGCAATCATGATGGCGTTGCTGCTGCAGACCGGTGGACGGAACGGCCAGCCGGCGCTTTCTTCGGCTCTGAGCAGCACTGAGCTATTCAAGGCCACGGTCCAGTTCCTTGCGTCTACCGAGTTTGCTAAGAAGCCCTTTGTCTTTGGCACATACAAGCTGGGCGCTGACCTCATTCGAGAGAACGGCCCAGTCATGTTCGATCCCGAACGTGAAGTCAACATTTTATACAAGATGAGCCCCTGGTCAGCGAGCCTTCTCCACTTCCACGCCAGCACCACCATGGAAGTACTCAACGACACTCTGGCAAACCAGTTCGAGCCGACCTTCATCACCAAAGCCGACTTGCCGCTACACCTGTTCGATAGCATTTTCGAGATCCAAAACGTGGACAGCAACTCAAAAAGCACAAACCCCGATCGACGAGGTGCCGTCTGGGATCTAAGCTTCAAGGCTTACACCGTTCTGAAGAAGGCGTTGAAAGAAAGGTCACAGCTGATTCATTTCGCAAGTCAAGACCCAGCACCGTGGTCAATCACCAGCACCCGGCCCACGAACCTGTCCAACATCCAGGTTGGCGTCATCTTCGACCCTGCCAACATGGGACGCTTGATGGAGTATGGTCCTTCGGCCGAGCTCGAGAAGGAGGCGGCAAAGTTCCGCAAGTTCTGGGGTGACAAGGCCGAGCTCCGTCGCTTCCAGGACGGCAGCATCCTCGAGTGCGTGCAGTGGACGCGGCAGACGTCTGCAGAAATCTGCGAAGAGATCGTCCGGTACGTCCTCCAGCGCCACGTGAGCCTTGGTGCTGGCGATTTGCGCTTCCACGATGCCGATATCCCCCCTTCCCTGGACATCTCGCCCTTTGACAGGGAATCCTTCGAGGCAGCGAGAAAGGCCTTCAGCACGCTCGAGCAGGACATCCGCGGCCTGGAGGAGATGCCGCTCTCGGTTAGGCAAATCGCCCCCGTTGTCCCCGAACTGCGATCCGCGTCGGTCACGCCGCCCTTTGCGCTCTCTCAGAAATCCGGCCCTCCGCCGATGGACGTAAACCTCTACTTTGAGGCATCCAGCAAGTGGCCGGAGAACCTTGTCGCGATCCAGGAGACCAAGATTGAGTTCCTGCTCGACATTGACCGTCGGTTACGCGCTGCCCACGACAACATCTCAACGAGCCTCGGTCGCGACAACGCCGCACGGGATATCGACAACCTTGCCTACCTGGACATCATCTACCCCAACGGTGCCGCTTTCCGACTGCGCATCTACGCAGAGCTCGAGGAGGCCCTCCTAGACCGCCAAGCCAGGAACAAGACGCTGGACCCCCAGAGCAGAGTCCAGGCCGAAGAGGCCCTCTTCAACCTCAACTGGCGCCACAAGCACCTGCCCCTCCACACGCAGACAATCACAACCTACTGCACCCGCTTCACCACCCTCTCCAACACGATCCGCCTCGTCAAGCACTGGTTCAACGTGCACAAGCTCGCGAGCCACATCTCGGAAGAGCTCATCGAGCTCTTCGTCCTCCACGTCTTCCTCAACCCGAACCCCTGGAAGGTCCCCTCCAGCACAATGTCCGGCTTCCTCCGCACCATCCTCTTCCTCTCCCGCTGGGACTGGCGCGAAGAGGCCCTCGTCGTCGACTCCTCCGACGACATGACCGCCGACGACCGCGCCGTCGCCCAGCACCACCTCGAGGCCTGGCGCGCCCGCGACCCGACAATGTCCCACGCAGTCCTCTTCGTCGCCACCCCGCACGACCACCTAGGCCTGGCCTACACCCGCCAGGGGCCCTCCAAGCTCCTCGCAACACGCATGACCCGCCTTGCGAAAGCCTCCAGCAAAAAGATCAAGGAGCAAGGCATCGCGCTCGACGTCGCCGAGCTCTTCCAGCCGTCCCTGGCAGACTACGACGTCCTCCTCCACCTCTCCACCTCGGGCCTGAAACGCGTCGCCCGCGACGCCGCCTCCGAGGCGGGCACCCGCACCTCCCTCTTCAAGAACCTCGACGAGCGCACGGGGAAAATCCCGCTGCCACTCGCGCGACACCCGGCGACGGTCCTGCTGACGGAGCTCGAGACGGCGTACGAGGATACCCTCGTCTTCTTCCACGGCGCGTCCGGCGACGCCGTCATCGGCGCCATCTGGCAGCCCAAGCTGCGCAGTCGGCAAAAGTTCCGTGTCGGTCTGCCCTACAACTTCCACCGGGTCAAGGGCGACAGCGGCGACGACGACGAGGAGGGCGATGTGGTCGAGGTGAACAAACCGGCTGTGCTGCTGGAGATTGCTAGGATCGGTGGTGACTTGATCAAGAAGATTGAGCTCATTGAATAGAGGATGAAAGATAGGATCTACGAAACGTAGATGGTGTAATTTGGGGAATCATAGCGAGGTTAGGAAAAGTCCATGAGCATCAAAAGTCCGGTTTTTTTTATTTTACCATGTCATTGCAACGTCCGCACACAGATTCGCGGTTCAGTTGAGTGATTACAAAAAGAAATTGTCTTTGGTGATGCTGATTATAGCCCTATTCAACCTTTGGTTTTCCCTGTCTGTAACGCCATGCCATGATATAAAATGCCTATGCACACCAACAAAAGACGTATACACAAAACATGCCCCTTTTCTCGTCGCACGCAACAAGTCCAAGCTATTGTGTATTCATTCCGAAAATACCCCCCTTTATCCCAGTTTCGTTGTATTCATTCTAGTATTTGAGCAGCTTTTGCTCTTTGCCGCTGTCGGCAACCTGCTGGGTAGAGAAGGCGCAGAACTTGTCCTTGATTGCGACCACCTCGTATGTACCTTCTTGGCTCGCGCGGATGATCTTGCTGCTTTCGTAAGAGACGTCATGGCGTGTCTCAAGGACGACGCTCTTCTGGCCCTTACGGGCATTGGAGCTGCGAGTGTATGTGAATTCGTACGGCGGAGTGCCCCAGAACTCAAAGAGGATCTCGACTTCGTTGCCTTCATGGATATCCACCCGAGTCTGTCGGCCCCTGCTGATCTTGACAGCGGGCAGAGGGTGAATAGTCTTGGTAATGTCGACAGAGGCGCGGCACTCCGAGGCCTTATCAGAGATAGAGGTGATGGTAAATTCGCCAGGTGACTCGGCGATACGACGGAAGTTGGTTGTGCTAGACTTAGCCTTGCGTTGCTGGCCCTGGAAATCGTACCAAATCTCAAAAGGAGGCGTGCCGGAAAGCGTATAAGCAATGCGTTCACCGACGCAGTAGTCTCCTCGGCTCTCCAGAGGGTAGATAGCGGGAGCATCATGGAGATGAACTTGCACAGATGGCGCACCGATCTCGTACTTCTTTTGGCATCCGCGAGCGTCTCTAACCTCGCGGATGCGGACATGCTGAATTCCAAGACGTAAATGCTGCCTGGGAATGTGAATGCCGTACGTGTTACCTTGGATCGAAGGAATTCTATATGT